AAAACTAATGGAGTTCATCACCACCAAGCCAGTATTACAGGAAATGTTGGAAGGACTTCTTTATGAAGAAGAAAAAAATATGTATCAAAAATATGAATAAAGAATGGCAACAACTATATATCTATCAACAAATACTTCAAATGAAAAAGAATTAAATGCTCCAATCAAAAGAAAGTGTGGTTGAATGGATAAGAAAACAAGTTGGTTGTAATATATGCTGCCTATGAGACTCCCTTCAGATTAAAAGACACACAGACTAAAAGTAAAGAGATGGGAAAAGATAATTCATGATGGACCTAGAGAGTATTATACTGAGTGGAGTAAGTCAGATAAGGAAAGACAAATGCCATATGATGTCACATACATGTGGAATCTAAAGAACAAAATAAACAAATAAAAAAAAATGGCAATACACTCATAGGTACAGAGAACATTCTGAGGGTTACCAGATGGGAATGGGGTTGGTGGGTAGGTGAAAAACGGGGAAGGGATTAAGCACAAAATGGTAGTTACAAAATAGTCATGGAGATATAAAGTATAGCATAAAGAATATAGTTGATAATATTGTAATAACTATGTATGGTGTCAGATGGGTATTAGATTTATTAGGGTGATCATGAGTTATACTGATGTCTAATTACTATGTTGTATACCTGAAACTAATATAATATTGTATGCCAACTATAATTGAAAAAATATATTAAATATGTGTATGTATGCGTATATATTTATATGTATATATGTGTGTGTGTGTATGAATGACATATTGGGATGTTTAAGAGTAGCTGGCCATGGTAAGGGTAAACAGAGAATGTGTAAACACTCTCTGTTTACCCTTGATAACCCAGAGCCCAAAGATACTTTTGGAAATCTGCCTCTTCTTCAAAATATTTGATTGCATCTGATAAAATATTGTCTGTCTCAATTTCTGTAAGTGTATATATGTATACAGAGAGACAGACAATATTCTATCCATGTCTGTATCTATACTTATATGTCTATATCTATCCACTCAACCATCTAAAATGACCACAAATTAAAGTAGTTACATTTGTGCACTGAATAATCTATTCAGCTATGTGAAGGCCCTGTTGTAATCCATCACTACCTATGAAAATATAACCAGATGCATGCACTACCAGCGGGAATGACGGGGTCCCTAGTGTCTGCAGAAATGACTGAAAACACACTGTGTTATTTGTAATCTTTTAACTGGACACTTGTGGGTCCTATCATTTCTTTGAGTAATTTTAGCATTTTGGGTAAGATTGTTATACATTTTTTTGTTTATCTGTATATTCATAAATACTAGTTATATATAAATGTAAATATATTTATTTATATGCTTACCATGAATAAATATCTGCAAATTAAACAAAGTTCTCCTGTCAATATATGTAGATATTTAAAGTCATTTTAAAGTGTTCTTTTCTTCAAAATGTTAACACGAAAACAAAAGGAGTATCATAACAGTATTGCCAAATTCAATCAAGATTTAAAATTAAATTAAATGTATTGAACATCTCCCTTGGCAAGCAATATTTGCCAAGTAGATGGCCCTGGAAAAAAACAAGGACATCTAAAATGGACTCCCGCCTGGCAGTGGCATGCAGTGTTCTGAGAAGCCAACTGGAATGAGATGGTCTGTTCATTTTGGTAGGTCATGTAAGTGAAGATGCACAGGGAGGACATTCCAACCTGAGGAAACAGAATGTGCAGATATAAATATTGCGTTTGGGGGCATTGATAAGAAGTTAAACAAAGAGGCAGCACAATTTAATGAGAGGATTCTGCCATTCGCTAACCATGTAATTTGGGGCAATTTACTTAATCCTCCCCATGTCTCAATTTCTTCATTTTTAATAATGAGAATATTTGTTCTACTTATCTCATAATTCATGAGAAAACCATGAGATAATGCATGTGCAGGCAATTTGAGAACAATTAAGTTACATATTAATATGTAATACATTTCATTACATATTACATATTAATGATAACAATACCATAATTGAGAATAGTAAGAACTTTTCTTTCTCTCAATTCATTGTTTGCACTTCCTTTTTACTACCCACTCCTTTTGTCTTTCTCCCTTTGAGAAAGTGACAGATAACACTATGGACTCACAGAAGATGACAGAAAGCACTGCCTGGGGTAGAGTGGGGATGTTTGGATTAGCCTTTGCAATTCCACTGTAGGAAACTCCCTTCTAGTGGGTGACACTCACCCAGCACCTGAGGAATGAGGAGATCATGCTAAATATCTATGAAATATCTCTTAATTCAGGACTCCTCAAGCTATCAGATGAAAAATAACATGTATGAAACTGATGGTTCTGAATTGGGGTTTGTGTTGAGAGTTCTGTCTCTGGGCATCATAGCTGAAATGTACTAAATTACCGTCCCCTAACCCAATTGCCCCCTGCCTCCCAGAGCTGTGTCTACCTTATGACCAGGGAGACTCTTGTGTCTAGAGAAAGATAACTTCAGATGACCTAATACATCCAGCTAAAGCAGATGTTATCTGAGAATATTTTGGAAAGTGCACTAAAGCTGTTACTTTATAAAAGTAAAATAAAAGTATTGACATTTCTAAGCTCTGAACTATTTTTTAACAAGCTAAAAAATACTGAAAAACAGGTAATACAGTTTTCTCAAGAGGATGTAGCATAGTTAGAATGTATACTATGTTTTTCCCAGTGTGCATTAGGGTAAAATATGTGCAGTGAAACTTCAGGGCACCTTCTAATGCAGATACAATCCAAAATATGGCAGATTTATAAACTAGGAAATTTTTATTTATTTGCTAATGTGGATTCCCTTAAGAACTCAAATGTTCTACAAATTACTTATGGCTTCTCCTTGAAAAGACTTACCTCTAAGGTCTCGATAGCATAAAACTCTAGGCTGCATAGTTGTCTGAATCAAGCATGAGCCATAATTCTCCTTTGCCACTAACTCAGGGTGGTTTGGAATTTACTAGCACTCTACCTGTATGGTAATTAATAATTTATAATTAAACTGGCAGCTTGAATAAATCAGTGTAGTGTAAGAGTGGAGCCTCTTTTCTCTGTTGTCTTTCCTTTTATTTTGAGAATCTGAAAGAAAATTTGGAAGAAAGGTTTAGGTATCTGAAAACCTCTATTAAAAGCTTTGCCCCCTTAGTTTTTGGATTTATTCAATCTGTTCTTTAGATCTTTCTTTCAAAGAAGAATTAAGCGTGTGCCCTTGTCAGCCTTGTGCAAAGACACCAAGGAAATAGATTTTAATGTGCTTCCATCCTTATTCTCAAGCACATCACTCCCTAGGTAGAGACAGGTATAAAACAATCATCCGTAATACAACATGCTCAAGCCCCTCCCATAGAGAGGTTTGGACAAAATGCAGTGGGAAAGAGGAGTGAGTCTCTTTTCAGGATTTGGGAAGAGGTTAGGAAAACTGCAGAAGGGAGGTGACCTTTGAGGTCGCTTCAAAGATGAGTCCTACCTTTTCAGGTAGATAATGAAGAGAAGACAAGGAAAAGCAAAGCTATGGAAATGCTTATGCTTTTGCTCTGATTCAGGGAGACCAGAGTCCAGTGACTGAAATGTGCTGTGCTAGTGAGGCCTGTGCCTGGAGATGAGGCTTGTCAGTGTCTTGGAGTTTTGGCTGCAGAGAGTTTAGGTAGTTCATGCACAAAAGGCTGTGTGTTAAGCCTGGTGGGCCATGGTAAGCTAAAAGAGTAAGCAGCAGAGCAGTATGATTAGGTTATTGTCTACAACGATCCTTCTGGCCACCTGGAGAGGATAATTTGAAGGGATTTCAAACTGCAAAAAGACTAGGTAGGAGGTTTCATTTGGGAGACTATTGCCATTGTTCATTGGCAACTGGTGAGATCAATCTTGATGGCAAATAGAAGTAGAGAGGGAATCAGGGTATTTTTCAATGCTGAGTTTCGAATTGAACTGAGAATGAGGCCTGGAGGTAGGACAAGGTAGAAAGTAAGACCAGGGATCATGTCGGCCTTTGCAATGCTGAAGGTAAATGGACATGGACCTGGACCATGAGAGAAGAACAGTTATTGTAAAAGATGTTATTGTTATTGTTGTCATCTTTCTTATCCTTTTATCTTAGTAGCTAACGTATTTTGAGTGTTTCCTTTATACCAGGAGCACTACTAAGCCATTGTTTTATTACACTTCACAACACAATGAGTTTAGCTACTACTATCATCTGTATTTCATAGGTGAGGAAAACAAAGCTGGAAGAGGTGAAGGCAGTTTACCTTGCTCCAGATCATACAGCGGGTGAGGATTTGAGCTCCAGAGCCCTGCTCTTAACCACTGAAATATGATGCCATTAAAACTATGTTTTATAATATAATCTTATAGTGACAATAGCAGCAGGATGGACTAGGGAGGAAAGTGACTAACTCTGAGCAAGTCAGAGAAAATGTTGCTGAGTTTTAACAGATATATTTTAAGGGATAAGCAGAAATTTTCAGGTGAAGAAATGTGAAGGAAAAGAATTGAAGGATGAAATAATCTGTGCAAGGTCAAATAATTTGAAGAGGTCTGGAATGCTCAGGAAATGATAACTAACTTAGTGTAGTTAACTTCACTGGGGGAAAAAGGGGGCTTAACTGAGGGCTACTCATGGCTATTTGCTTAAGCCAGCAATTCCACTAAAAGGAATGAGCATATAGATAGGAACTCTTAGAAAAATTGTTTGATTGGTTTCCTTCAGTTTTGCCTTTTAAACAACAAGCATTAATGCCCTTCTCTTCTGTTCCTGTGCTTCCTCCCCACCCCACACACATACCTGCCTCCTGCTACAAGACAAAAATACATTAGAAATGTTGCATAAGTGGCCACTTCCTTGTCAAATCAAGAATTTTGAAAATTATTATTGAGAAAATAGTGATCATAAAAACATGCCATAGGAATATTTAAAGGCTAACGCCTCCTTTTAAGTGCAAATAATTATTCGCATGTATTTATTCTCTCCTCTGTTTCTTTACAGTTCCTCCCCAGATCATGAATATCTCTTCAGATATCACTGTGAATGAGGGAAGCAGTGTGACCCTGCTGTGTCTTGCTATTGGCAGACCAGAACCAACTGTGACATGGAGACACCTGTCTGTCAAGGGTAAGGCATTTACCTGTAAGACATCTTTAGAGTTAGTATATTCAAAACTTAATTCTAATGTACAACACAACTTCAGGAATCAGAAAACAATGTTGTATTATGACACAGTAATTAAGCCAAGACCACATACATCAGTCAATGAGTATTATGTTCCAAAAGAAAGATTTATAGAAAAAAATTACTGAATTGTTTTTTCAGTCCTTTTTTTTACCTCAGTATACTTTTAATTTCCCAACTGTAAATAACAGAGGTACCATAAGAATAACTTTCAACAAAGATGATAATTTCTCAAGATGGAGATGTGTGAGTTAGTTGGTGGTTTATCTTTTCTTGAGTAGAGTGCTTGAACACTAGAAAATCCATTGAAAATGTTGGTGTTATTGTATATCCAGGGGAAAAGGGATATCCTTGCTCAGTACTTTTAAGACGTTTACCCAGAGTCACATCTGTTTGACCTGTACATAAATAATCCATCTTGAGTAGAATAGGATAATAGAAATGACAGCGTGCACCTGGGCATGCCTCTGCTGGGACCCAAATGATTGGCATTAAAACATTAGCTATAATCATCTCCAACTTAATAGGAAGGGGGTGGGGAACCAAGGGGCCTTATCCCTTTGGAAATAAAAGATTCCAAGTTAAAATTGAACTTGATATATACACTTTTACTAGAAACCATGATTAATTCCAGAAATTATACAAGAAACAAGTGCTCCCTTAAGGCATTAGAAAATCCAAATGTGAAACTCAGTGAAGAGGAAAATGGGTGGACTATGCCTGTGTATGATGTAAAAATAATGTAGATCTAGAGGAAACAGAAATAAATTTTGGTAACCTTGAGATAGACAAAGATTTGCTAGGACGCAGAAAGCTCTAAGTATAACAGAAACAAAAATTGATAAATTTAGTTTTGTATTTTTACAGCTGCCATAACAAAGTACCATAAGCTGCATGGCTTAAACAACAGAAATGAATTTTCTTATAGTCCTGGAGGCTAGATGTCCATGGCAAAAGTGTAGGCATGGTTGGTTCTTTCTAAGTGCCATGAGGGAGAATCTGTTCAATGCCTCCTACTGGCTTCTAGTGGTTTACTGGAAATCTTTGGTGTTTTGGGGTATATAAATATATCACGCCAATCTCTGTCTCATCTTCACATAGCCTTCTCCCTATGTGCATCTCTCTATCATTTATTTCTTTTTATAGGGACATCAAATATATCGGACTTAGGCCCACACTTATGAGCTCGCTTTAACTTGAGTACCTCTCTAAAGACTCTGTTTCCAAATAAGGTCACATTCTGAGACATCGGGAGTTAGGGCTTCAAAGTATTTTTTTTTTTTTTGAAGGGAGGCTGCAATTCAACCCATAACAGGCTTCATCAAAATTAAAAACATAATTAAGAATAAATGAAAAGACAGCCACAAACTGGAAGAAAATATTTGCCTTACTTATTTTTGACAAAAAATTAATATCTGGGCTATATAAAAAAATTTACAACATAATTCTAACAATACCTCTTGAAAACAAAATATTTAAACAATTCACAATAGAAGATATGTGAATGGAAAATAGGCACATAAAATATCTTTGACATCTTTATTATAGAAATAAAAATCAAACTGTAATGAGATATCTCTATACAACTGCAAGAATGCCAAAAATTAAAAAGACTGACACTATCAAGTGTTGATGAGGATGTGGAGCTACTGAAACTCTTATACATTAACTGTAAGACTGTAAAATAGTATAAGGCCTATGGGAAAAAGTTTGTCATTTCTTGATAAAATTAAACATACACTTGCATATGACCCAACAATTCCACTCCTAGGTATATAACAAAGATAAATGAAAACTAATATACATAAATAAAGATTGTGCAGAAATGTTTATATAGCAGCTTTGTTTACAATATCTTCAAACTGGAAATAACCTAAATAACCATCAACAGATAAATATTGGTATATTCTTACAGGTGATTTCTCAGCAATTAAAAGGAATTAACCATCGATACATGGATGATTGGATCTCAAAAACACTATGTGAGGCAAAAGAAGCGAGATACAAAAAAATTTCATTTATATGAAATCCTAGAGCAGGGGCAACTAATCTATAATGTCTACAATTGAGTCAGTAGTTACCTTGGGTAGGTAACTACCTTTTTGTTGTTGTTGTTGCTTTGTTTTTTGTTTTTTGTTTTTTGTTTTTAATTAGCTGCAAAGTGGCACAGGGAATTTTGGAGGGTAATAGAAATGGTTTATATTTTAAATAGGTTGGTGGTGGTATTGATGTTTGTTAGTCAAAACTAATCTAACTATACGATAAAAATAGGTGCATTTTTGTATGTTAATTAAATCTCAATAAAAATTGATAAATATAAATATGGAACTGTTGCAAATAATAACCTGAAATTTCCCCCATAATTTTGAATAAAATTATGTTGGCAGCACTTACCAATGAGAGAGTGGAATTATTACTAGGAATATTGTTTAAGCTTTTACTATTTTATTTCCTCCATGTAAATTGAGAATACATATATCAGCTTTTGCTTTGTTATAGGGTAAGATAATGCTTATTTGGTGGCTTGTTAAGCCACCAAACATTCTTTGTATAAAGACCTCATATATTAAACCCCAAATGTCAATATTATAAAGTGTTATAAAGAATTTTAAAGTATATGTAAAGGACATGACAAAGCTCAACTTTAACATAAACACAGGAATAGTATGTGTTCCCAAAGACATAAGTGCCATGGGAATTTTGCTTAAAGTCAGGGAGAATTTTGGATTTACATTATATACAAAAATATGTCTAACCTTCAGACCAATTTGTTCATATTTGTAAGTCTTTATAAATGTTAAGATCTCAGAATGCATTTATTTCATCCTAAATACATAGTTTTCTAAGCCTAGAAACCTTTTGAAAAGCATTTTGACATGGTATGTTTTAAACAATTTTTTATAATGATACACTGGTAAGATTTTCCTCTTTAAATAAGGGAGATTCATCCCTTATTTCTACCTTTCATATAATGTAATAGCTGCAATTCAGCTTCAAAAAAAGCTTGAAAAATTCTAAATTTAAATTATCCCTCTCCTCTTTAAATCTCTCAGGCTGTGCTCTACTTTCAAGTTGCCTTTTGTTTTTTTCATAGCTATATTTTTCACTTTACTGTCTTTTTTTCCCCTATTCTCTCCGCCCCTCCACCCCCAATGACATTTAAGCATTTAACTCAAAGCACTGTTTCTCAAGTTTGAAAATCATTGGAACCTGGAAGGTTTGTAAGTTTAAAAGCTGCATCTGTGAGTGACTACCAATATTTATTTTAGAAGACTGCTTCTTCTTACTCAGAGTCTAGGAAATTTTGGTAAGTTGTTTTAAAGGTTTAGAAGAGCATCCAATAAGACTTGAACATCAAACAGCATTTTTACAACAATCTACTGGTTAGTTCAGCATGCACAGATAAGAAATACAAGTTGCAATGACATTTTCTTTTAAATTCGAATAGGATTACATTGGCGAACTTAGCTCACTGGACAGCTGTGTTCCCAAAATGCTAATACAATATTGAAATCTATTGTTTAAATTTGGAGATCTATATAACAGAAATGAATAAACAAACTTTTATTAAAAAGAACATTTTAATGATCAGATAATTAAAGATTAAGAATAATGGTAATGCATATGGTTTAAAAAGACAGACAAAGCATATGCTGCCAGTCCCTAGAAATTATAAAAAAAGATAAAGACTAATGAATTAATAAACCCATTATCATGCTAGAGAATCATAATGGTAAGCTTTGGTAGATCAGAAACTGTGAGGAATCTCTGAAATATAAAAGGTAAATAGATGTAATAAAAGGGGAAAATACAGCTCGAAATGCAGGAATATGATCAATGCCTAAAACGATAGTTGAGAAAGGAAAAATTTTAGGTCATAGTGCACTGGTAAATGTTTAAAACTGCTTGGAGCTGAGGGGAGGGAAGGAAGGGGTGACCTGGCAGCATTTGCCGATTTCTATGGTGCAAATATTTCCATCATTGCCACTTTCCTGGAAGCCCCTTTGAGGTAACTTTGCTTTTTTCAGTTCATTTTCACTTAAAAACAAGCTCACTAACTAAAAACAATCCCTTATTATGAAGGTAGGGTGAAAGTTTTTTAAAAATCATGAAGATTCCAGATATAGATCTAAAGACTGCTGAGCATTTCCTATCTCCAGACTGATTATGCAGCTGGAGACCTTCTGACCTCCAGTTTCCTTTGCAGTGTTGACAAATGTGCTAGGATTCCCAGAAACTAGGCATTCCCAGAGGACATCTGCTTCACTTCTGAGGAAAGTAGGAGCTTTTTACAAGATCATTATTATTAAGTATTGTGAGCATCTCAAAGAAAAGTGCTATGTAAACATCATTTATGGGGTTTGCAATTGACATGCAAACCATTGAGTATTTGACTGTATTTATTCTTTAGCTTTAAATATAAAAAAGTTATGTTTAATTTATTTTCAGTAGCAGATAATGTCTTTAAAAAAAAAACATAATTATATAGATTTGATAGAGAACATGGCACTTGTTTAGTATCCTTTACACACACAGAAATGTGTTCTGAATAACCTACAGTTTAGGAACTAGGAAAATGATGGAATCACAGGCCACTGCCTCAAAGCAGGCAGGCCAAGTGCATTAGGAAGGGGCCAGTGTGTTTGGAATACAACTGTGAGAAAAGAATTACTTTCTTTTCCCTTACTGAAGGACAGAAGACCCACAAGTGTAAAAACATAAATAATGTAAAAACAAAGTTGCAAAGATAGGCATGGCAGAGGAATAGGCCGTTGTGTTCTAAGGAGGGTTGTCTTTCCTTATGATGCCACAGTAATCTGCTATAATTCCATACACACCTGACCCCATTTTCAATGACATATTTGGAAAAGCCAGATGTTTGGGGGAAAATAATAAAGTCTTTTCTGTTTTCTCTCCATGGATATTTTAAGATGGCAGCTATT